AGAGACAACAAAAATAATTATTATACTCGTTACTCCCTTAGTAAAAGGGTATACTAGATTAGTCGGAAAGTATGTATATCGATTTAGCGTCGCTTGTGACCGGTTGTGTTTATCTTGTGCTCTGTGATTTTTGTCAATTTGTCATTAATATCTGTGTTACTGGTGCCTTGATTTGTGTCTTAGTCCAACATAACCAGCCGTGCTTGTGTTTTAAATCGTCTAATCGTTTAATTGTCTATTTTATTGTAGCAATTTTAACAAAACCTAACTCTGTTTTTAACCTGTGCATTTTGTTATTGTAACTTCTGTAAGCTGCGGTGCATTTGTTTCAATAGCTTTTGTTGTTGTTTCCCATAATCTGTAATCTCTCTCTCTTGTAATCTCTCTCCCGTTTCTTGCAACTGTTGTCGTGTATATTTTGTTTGTGTTTCGCAAGCCACGCTCAGTCGACAGCCACTCTGTCGCGCTCTCTCGCTTTCGCAGTCTCTTCGCGCTCTTATACTTTTGTGTTTTTGTGTGTCTACATTTTTATTGTTTGATCCCAGTGTCAAATTAAGTGAGGTATTTATAATTCTTTTGATACTTTGGTTTTATAAACAACTTTTTTTCTTAAATTTAAATACGTAAAAATGGCTCTTTTTTGTTCCAAGAAAGATTGTGAGTTTGGATCGTCACCTAATGATGTTTTTATTTATTGTCGTCTCTGCAATACAGTCATTCATCCAAAATGTACTGGACTTGTTGGCAGAGTAAAAGATTTTATTGATCTGCGTGTTGGTTTTTCGTGGACTTGTGCCTCTTGCGTTGAAATAGACCGTGATTTGGATGGCTATGTTGCGCTGACCAATGATCGTTTTATGAAACTTTTTGATAAGCTTATGAGCGTAGTTGCTGATTTTAAAGAGTTTAAGGCGGACCTTGATAATAAAAAAATGTCAGTAGGGTCACCTAAACGCAAAAAGACCGCTCTTTCAAAATCTGCTCCCGTAAAGGCATCAGTTCCAAATCCCAACTTAGCTCCAAATATTTGTACCCGATCGGTAACGGCAGCTATGTCGGCATCTACTGGGTCTGGGGGACCTAAAGTTTCTCTGACAGCAGTACCCATAGGTACCAAAAGCTCTGGAGGAGTCCCTGTTTCTGCTAGTCAGACTAAGGGGTCAAACCCTATGCAGCTTTCTGTGCCTACTGGTGAAGTTAGCTCTATAGGAGTCCCTAGTCTTGGTAATCAGACGAACGATGTTCAGATTGCAAATGGTGGAAGAAAGAGCCTCTCGGTTGTTCCATATAGGAAGCAATTATTTGTGTCTCGTTTAACACCTGAAACCACATCTGCAGATGTTTTGGAATTTATACAACAGGAATTCCCATCTCAAAACATCACAGTGGAGGAGTTTAAATTTCCATATGTTCGTATGATATCTTCATTTAAAATATCTGCTCCTCCGGAAGTATTTAATGTACTAAATTCTAAAAGTTTTTGGCTTAATGATGAATTGGTCATTAAAGAATTTGTTCCAAACAGACGGAGAACTAATAATAGGCCTTCCACGACTGTACCTGCGCCAAAAAACTGAGCAGCTTATTTTTGGCCTATCAAAATGTTAGGGGACTCAATATGAAACTACCTAAGCTTTATGCTGACTCCTCTGCCTTTTCTGAAGACATTCTGGCCTTTACTGAGACTTGGCTGAAACCGGAGATATCAGACTCCGAAGTTCTGTCTAAAAATTTTAATACGTATAGAACTGATCGCTCTCCTCGTAGGGGGGGTGGGGTGCTGGTTGCCGTTACCTCTACTTTATCATCGGAGAGAATATACTTTCTTAATCCCAATGACATAGAATTCGTTGGTGTTAAAGTTTCTTTGAAATCTTTTTCTATTTATGTAACTTGTTCTTATATTCCACCTGGATCCGACTTAACAATTTATGAGCAACATTCGTCTGCAATAAAAACTGTTTTATCTCATATTTCCGAAAGGGATCTTTTAATTGTTTTGGGTGATTTCAATCTCCCTGACATTTCTTGGTCCCTTTCCACTGACTCACTTGTCTCTACCCCTTTATCTGACCATGACTTCGTTGCCGGTCTGTTAGAATTATCATTACAGCAAGTTAGCTTTATACGTAATTCACTAAACAGACAATTAGATCTAGTATTTGTTTTAGATCCGTCTGAAGTCACTGTATCTAGAATTGACCCACTAGTTGTGCCTGAAGACCAGTATCATCCCACATTAGAACTTACAATTTGTCTTCCCAGCGTTGATACCCTCTCTCCTTCACTTTCTCCAAATAAATGTAGATGCTTTCGTAAATGTGACTTTAGTAAACTCAACAACTTGATTTCACAATATAACTGGACAAATTTATATAATTGCTTGGATATTGAAAGTGCTACGGAACTATTTTATAGTGTCCTAAACTCTTTTTTCAGTGAATGTGTTCCTGGCAGTTTTCCTCCTAAGTTAGACAGGCCACCTTGGTTTACCAATCAGTTGCAAAGACTTAGAAACCTAAAAACAAACTTCTATAAAAAGTACAAAAAGTCGGGTAGGCCATCCGATTTTTCAAGATATGTGGTGGCTCGTACTAATTTTAATGTACTTAACACTCATTGCTATTCCATGTATTTGAACCAATGTAAATTTGAATTTTCAAAGGATCCGAGGAAATTTTATAACTTTGTCAATGCTAAGCGAAAGTCTTCAGCATTGCCATCATCCGTACGATTAAACTCTATTGAGGCATCTACGGATCCCGAAATTGCAGATTTATTTGCTGAATTCTTCCAATCTACTTATAGTTCTGTTTCATGGTCTAATTCTAGCTACCCTAATCACTTAAACAGGGCAAATTGTATTTTTTCTCCTGTAATCACCGAGAGTTCTCTCTTAAGGGATTTAGAAACTATAACGCCAACCTATTCTCCGGGGCCAGATGGACTCCCTGGGTGTGTTCTTAAGTTTTGTGCCCGAACTATTTGTAAACCCATTCTTAAACTTTTTAATTTGTCTATCTCATCATCTGTTTTTCCTACTATCTGGAAAGATTCTTTTATTATTCCACTCCACAAAAAGGGTGCGAAGGTTAATGCTCAGAACTATAGAGGAATCTCCAAATTGTCTGCAATTCCTAAAACATTTGAACGCATTATTACCTCTCAGTTGCAACATTTGTGCTCCTCTTTAATATCGCCGTGTCAACATGGTTTTGTTAAGCGTAGATCGACCACCACTAACCTGCTCGAATTGACATCTTTTGTACTAGATGGATTTAACAAAAAATTACAGACGGACGTTATATATACAGATTTTAGTAAAGCCTTTGACTCTGTTAACCACTCTCTTCTTTTATTCAAATTAGATCTGCTTGGGTTTCCGAATAATCTGTTAACTTGGATTTCAAGTTATTTGAATGGTAGATCTCAGAGGGTTTTATTCAAAAACGCTGTTTCCAAGATGATCAACGTGACATCTGGAGTGCCTCAGGGCAGTCATTTAGGCCCTTTGCTGTTTACTCTGTTTATAAATGATCTTCCTTCTATCGTAAATCACTCTCGTGTACTAATGTATGCTGATGATGTTAAGCTTTGTTTTTCATATAATAACATTGAATCTGGTTTCTGCTTGCAGTCAGACTTAAATAGATTCCAGTAATGGTGTCAGTACAACCTTTTGAATTTAAACTATCTTAAATGCAACGTTATGACTTTTTATAGGGGTACGCCAACGTTCATGAGTTACTCTCTTCAGAACATGTCCTTGGACCGAATATACTCAGTAAACGATTTAGGTGTTCTCCTAGATCCTAAACTTAAATTTGACTCCCACATAACCTCTACTGTAAATAAGCTATGAGTGTTCTTGGGTTTATAAAGCGTTGGTCTAAAGAATTTGATGATCCATACACTACCAAATTATTATTTACCTCACTTGTCCGACCTAATTTAGAATACTGTTCTTCCGTTTGGAGTCCTCAGTATCAAGTGCACATTGACCGTATAGAGTCCGTACAGAAACAATTTCTTCTTTTTGCCTTACGTGGTTTGAACTGGGATCAAAACGTCAGGTTGCCTTCTTACTCGAGTAGATTGCTATTAATTAATTTGCCTACTCTAGTAAGCCGTAGAATTATGCTTGGTACTATTTTTATGAATAATCTTATCAGAGGCGATATTGATTCTGTAGATTTGGTAAGCCGCCTAAGTTTCAATGTTCCTGTTAGACTAATGCGAAACTACCATCCTATTAACTTGCCACGATGTTCATCTAATTTTAGTCAGCATGAGCCCTTTCGCGTTCTTTCTAATAATTATAACAACCTGTATCATTTAATTTGTTCCTCAACTTCTATCCCTGTACTAAAAACTAAAATCTTAGCTCATTTGCTTTAATCTTGTTGATCTATGTTTTGACCTGTCTTTATTTGTTCTATGTACCTTCCTCGCGAACCGTATTTGCCCGAAATAAAAATGGGCCCGCGCGTAACAAGCACGTGCTTGGTGTCGTTTGGGCCACTTGTTTGTACTGCTCTTAGTGCATCAACGTTCAACAATAATAATAAATAAAGTAAAGTATATAAATTCTTGATCAGCATCACTAGCCGAGTCGATCTAAACATTTCCGTCTGTCCGTCCGCTGATATGAACGTTGTGATCTCGGAAACTATAAGAGCTAGAATATTGGGACTTGCCATGTAGATTCTTGGGCTTCCTGCGCAGCGCAAGTTTGATTCAGAAGTGCGCCACGCCCTCTTCAATCCCATAACCTTTCTCAAAAATTTTGTTAAAACTTAAATGAGTTGTTGTTCTTATTATCAATACCAATCTACATGCCAAAAATTATTCTAATCGAACCATTTGATCTAAATTTTACTGTCGAGCAGTCCGCACAGATTAAGTTGAACAAGATTTCTATGGTCCTTAGTATATATTTTCTAATATTTACGCATAAAGATGAACGATTTGTAATCTATGGTAACTCTTTTCAATTTCAGAGAATACTTAAAATAACAAAAATACTTATGAACACAAAGGAGGATCCTGAGGTCGGGACGTTCCTTGAAGGAGGATACTCTGAAGAATCTGATACAGACTCAAATATTCTTTTGGAGGATAATTTACTTAATAGCCTGGACTATTGGCTTGAAAGATTGTTTGATGGGAGAACACAAAAATACTATATAAATTATTGGCCAGACTTTACTACAAAGTAATAAGCCTAAAGTACCTATGTAAATGAAATGTTTATAACTGAAGCACATTTAAAGTCAAATAATAAATCGGTCCCTTAAATTGTACGTGAACTACACCACATTATGTATTCATTTAGAAACCGATTGGTGTATCACTCATTACGGTTGGACTTTTATGACAGATTTTCAATTAATAAATAATAATAATAATAAAATACGGGGAGTGTGCACCTGAGTGTGCTCAGTCACTGTATATAATTTCTTCCCAAGTATATTTAGGCCCATATACCAACATAATACAATTATTATCGCATTAACAATAGTAAAACATAGAACTATATATCACAGCACTTTCCGCCAACACATTTTGGATCCAGACCGTCAGTACGCCAAAACATTAGCATTCTGCCGACTCCACAAAATCATGTATAGAGCAATAACTTTGCAAGTAACCATGTAGCACTTTTTGCGCTATTGAGAACCTTATAAAATAGTAAGAAAGGAAGAACGCTATAAATTGGTGTAATACCCATTACGGTTGGACTATTATGACAGATTTTCAATTCAGCCACTGTATAAAGTACGGGGAGTATACTTGGTGCGCTCAGTCACTGTGGATTATTTCTTCCCAAGTAAATTTAGGCCCATATACCAACATAATACAATTATTTTCGCATTAACAATAGTAAAACATAGAACTATATATCACAGCACTTTCCGCCAATACATTTAGCATCCAGACCGTCAGTATGCCAAAACATTAGCAATCTGCCTACTCCACAAAATCATATATAGAGCAATAACTTTGCATGTAAGCATGTAGCATTGCGCTATTGAGAACCTTATAACATAGTAAGGAAGGAAGAACGCTACAGTCTAGTACCTCGACTATCAGATACCCATTACTCAGCTTAAGGGACCAAATGGAAGTGGAGATACACAAGCAGCAAAGCGAGATTGAAAGGCGCCACCTACTCGCGATTTCAATATGTGGTTATGTGACGGTAGACTGCTTAAACCGTTATGGGCGTTAGAGAGGGTGTGGCAAACTTTTTTTGGGTCAATCGATAGGTATTGACGAGATTAATACATTGCGCCACAGGCTTTGGCGGTTTGTGGGCGTTAAGGTTGGGCGTGCCAAACTTTTTTTTGGATCAATCGATAGGTATTGACGAGACTAATACATTTCAGTTACAATTTTTTTATAGCAAGAAAATTGTGGGCGCCACAGGCTTTGGCGGTTTGTGGGATTTAAGGTTTGGCGTGCCAAACTTTTTGTTGGATCAATCGAAAGGTATTGACGAGACTAATTCCAGTTAAAATTTTTTTCTAGCATAAAAATTGTGGGCGCCATAAGTTTTGGCGGTTTGTGGGTGTGGCATATTCGCGTGACAAACTTACTTCGCTATCTTTGATAGTTTCCGAGATATCCGCGTTCATACTTACGAATTTTTGAAGTTTGTGGGCGGTTTGTGGGCATTCTTTTGGGTCAGTCGATAGGTATTGATGAGGGCAATACATGTCAGTTAAAATTTTATTCTAACACCAAAACTGTACGAGCCACAGTTTTGGGCGGTTTGTGGGCGTTAGAGTGGCCGTGGCACCGTGCTGGAGCAAACTTGCGCTGCCTAAAAAGCTCAGGAATCTGCATGCCAATTTCCAATAGCCTAGGTCTTTTAGTTTCCGAGATCTCAGCGTTCATCCGGACGGATAGACGGACATGGCTAGATCGACTCGGGTAGTGATTTTGATCAAGATTATATATACTTTATGGGGTCGGAAACGCTTCCTTCTATCTGTTACATACTTTTCGACGAATCTAGTGTACCCTTTTACTCTACGAGTAACGGGTATAATAGGGTGTTTTTGAGATATTCACTTTTACTTGTGGATATATATTAATTTTACTAATTTAGAAATGTAGAAGGAAAATGTTAACAATATCTGCCATAGAAACGATCGGATAAATAATGGAAAAATAATAGAAAACCATTTTTGACCATATTCTCTTCTACTCCGGTAAATAACATTTTTGTAATATTTAGATTTTCGAATTCAATTTAACAAGAACTGGACTATTATATCATATAGATGTCATATAAAGGATTGGGAAATTAATGACAAAATAATACAAATACCGTTACGTTTCGTTTTCGGTAAACATATACGGTAAATTAAAATGGAACATTAGTAGCTATTATAAGCGGGCAGGGCAACTTTTTTTGACGGTTTTAAATGTAGTATCCGACAGAATCCTTTTATAGCATTTCAAAATATTATCTACTGAGAATCAGCAGGAGAAAGTGCACGGGGATACACACGAGCCCAAGTCTCACCCCTATCCACAAGCAATCGTGTTGAAAGTTTAATTAAAAATGTGCAGTTTATTTTTACAGTAGTGAAAATATACCATTGGAAAGAAATGCTTTCCATTGATACAAAACTTTTTTTAGTGATGAGGTACACTAATCACGGTATCGGCGGTGATCGTCATTAGTTCCATTTTCAGTCTACACTTCAAACCGTCGGAAAAATTGCCCTGCCCGCTTATAGTATTTACTCTCTGACTAAATTGTAATGGTTGCATTGCAATATAGGCTGGCTGACCCGGTCGTTAGACTCGTGCGGCCAACCGAAATATAATCGCGCCTTAGAGCCCAACTTATGGGAAGTGCTAGTGTCAGCATATTCTCATGCCCTGAGTGCAGTCACATACAACCCATGCATGTACAACTTCTCTCGCGTTCTTGCTGCTATCAGCCAAATACATTTGTAAGCATATAAGTTACATTGATATAGACATGGCGGCCGCTGCCAATGCTTGCAGGCAGCGCTGCCGCGAATAGCTGGTTGTAGGACACTCTAACTTTGAAAGTCAATGAATAAAGTTTCTTGCCTTGGCCGATGGCCACTAAGACCAATTTAATTATTTATCCAGGTTCAACAACTATTTATAATATGATGTGAGATCAATAATGCAAATGGTTTCATTCGTGTCCGGCTAAACATATTTCCCTGCTATAATTCTTCCAAAGTTTGAAAAAAAATGTTGGGAGGCCAAGTGACTATCGGTGGCATCACTTCCATAGTTTAATACTGTTTGCAAATACTCTCTATAATGATAATTATTATTACTTTTCGATTCCAACATATTATGTATATATTATAATATTGGCCAGTGCATTTTTATACCCGCTACTCGTAGAGTAAAAGAGTATACTAGACCCCTTAAAATACATATATTCTTGATCCGGATCACTAGCCGTACCGATCTAGCCATGTCCGTCTGTCTGTCCGTCCGTATGAACGCTGAGATCTCGAAACTACAAAAGCTAGAAAGTTGCAGTTTGGCATGTAGATTCCTGAGCTCTTCGCGCAGCGCACGCCCACTCTAAGGCCCACAAGCCGCACAAAACTGTGGCCTCTACAGTTTTGTTGCTAGAATACAAATTTTAACTGAAATGTATTTTTCTCATCAATACCTACCGATTGACCTAAAAAAGTTTGCCACTACCACAAACGTGCCCACAATCTTCAAAAAATGAACGCTGATATCTCGGAAACTATCAAATTTAGAGAATTAAGATTTCCGATTTAGATTCCGTTGCCTTGTACGCAGCGCAAATTTGTTACGCGAATATGCCAAGCAAACACTAACGCCCACTAACCGCCCAAACCAGTGGCGCCCACAATTTTCATACTAGCAAAAAATTTAACAGAAATGTGTTAGTCTCGTCAAACCTATCGATTGATCCAAAAAAGTTTGCCGCGCCCACCCTAATGCCCACAAACCGCCAAGGCCTGTGGCACCCACAATTTTCATGCTAGAAACAAACTACTAGTCTCGACAATACCTATCGATTGACTCAAAAAAAAGTTTGTCTCGCCCACTCTAACGCCCATAACGCTTAAATCTTTCTTCCGCCCACATAACCATATATTGAGTAGGGTAGGTGGTCCAATCTCGCTTTGCTGCTCGCATATCTCCATCTCCCTTTGGTCCATTTAGCTAAATTATATACTATTAATCAATTCCCAGATAACCATGTCCGTGTCAATGTCGTCAAATTTCTCAAGAAACTCTTCGCAAAACTTTGACCGGGTGAAGTTGGAATTCGCCCTATGAAACTTCCAATACCATTCAGTGGCCAGATGATTACTTAAAATGTTCTGATCTGCGTTCAGATTCGGAAGCGCTTAAGACAAAATTCGATAGAGGAATTTTCAGGTCTGTAGACCATCTCGAGCGGCTTCAAACCAGATCCGCCCGCTCTGGATACTGGAACTTTAACCTGGTGGACTGCAACGTTCGACCTGTTGCTTACACCGCTAACCTGGTGACGGTTACCGTTCCCTTTAGCTCCATATGAATTAGACGTTCGTTTGTTCGCCTGTACTGGTAAGTCTATATTTCCCATGGACCTGGTCTAGGAATTTTATTTTGTACTGTTCCCCTGGACGGAGGTCAGAACGTACCACACTAGTAATCTATTTTCGTTGACCGTTTCCGCAACCCCTTTCTCCCCTAGTGCCTGCGGGCCTAGTGAACTGTTGATCGCCAGAGTTATGAATTTGCTCTGCGGCTGAGATATCTGCTTGTAATTTGTTACTCGGAGATGGTGGCGGTGGTGGTCACATTATGTCTTACAAGTTGGTCATGAGTGAGATTTCTGAAGACACTCCAATAATGCTTGCACGGTGCCACTGTTCGAAAGTCTACTGCCTTTAACGGCTTGTTATATTTCTAAGAATATAGCTTCTAAGTCTTTACTACTATGATTTTCTGAACCAATGTTAGCTAACAAAACCGGCACCCAACAAATTACGCAATAGCCAAGTTGGAAATAGTACCAGGCGCCCAGTTGCACCCACTGCAGTTGAGAAGTTCTGATCAGCATTTTATATTTAGTGTCAACGCATGACTCGACTCTACAGTACCTTCACCCGCAAAGCAGTCAACACATTCTGCAGTGCCAGCCGTGCCAATTCGACAGTACATTCACCCGCCAAGTCAACTTCTC